TCGTGGTTTCAGGAGGGGTGAAGTTGACACTGCTCTTCTCTTATATTATATCTCTCTCATCTTCATAGCATCTTTTTATGTGGGAAATAAACTACACGCTTAATTTATGAAAAACTGTACATGAAGATCTTCTCTTTCCCGCCAATACTGATTTCCATTATCGCCATAAAYTAATCAGCCAATCGTTTTTGTATTTAATTGAGTCAAGTGGACAGACATAGTTTCTTACATAAGCTTTCCTTCTATAGGATCCATATGTAGAGAAATGTGCTACAGAAGTCGACATGTCGCTGTGCAACGCATCAGCATCGTTACAGAAATCTAAGAAAGAGAGAGTGATGAACCATCGTCTTCATCGTGAAATCCCTCCTCCTTGGGGCAGCGACACGGCAGATAACTGGAGAAACAAGTAAGCTCTCTTTTGTTTTAGACAATATAATTGGCTTTAGCATGCCACTTAGCCTGTGTACATCCGTTTCTCACCCCTCCAAAAAAATCGGACGTTCTCTCCCCGAACGCTGTTCGTGTAAAAAGTGGTGCATTTAACAATAGAGTAAACGTGGTACCACGCATGTTCACTGGCCGTGCTCGAGTTTTCGTCCGCGCACTGAAGACCAACTCACGCGAAAGGAAATGCGTGCAATATTGTGGGTAGTCTTCCGCGCGCGTGTTAGTTTGTTTGTTTTTGTTATGCGTATTATCTTTTTTTCTACATTTTGTAGTTGACTATACTGACATAGTGAAATGCTCCTCTGTTTTCATCATTGATTCAGAAGTAGTAGAGATAGGTAGTAGAGTGACTAGGAGATGCGACTTTTTCCGTTATTATGTAATCTTTTTAATTCACTCAACACAAGAAAAAGCTTTGCTATACCACCAATCGTTGTCAATCTTAAACTATGCAAGATGTGTTGATTGACAGCTTGTCAATAAAATTGACGATGTGTTGATTGACAGCTTGTCAATAAAATTGACGATCTAATGTGTTTAAATTTATAGTCCAAAGTTTGGAGGCCTGGGAAGAGAGGATATATTGCAGGTATCTTTCTTTAATATCTCAATTTTTTTAGTTCCTTATTTGCTTTTTTTATCATATTATTATTATTATTATTGTTTTGGTAATCGCCATATCTCCAATTTTTATTTTAGGCCAAAATAGGAAAAGAGACGGAGGGAAAATCGTACAATTCATGGTTGGCCTGGTGGAGATCAACAATTAACTTTGATGATTATCTCAAATACRTCTCAACACAGGTCTGTTGATTTTATTTTGCATTCAATTCTATTAGAGAAATTTTAACTTTCTTATCGTTAAAAGTTTTTTCGTCTTTTCTTMCTTTTTCCATTTATTCAGTTCTTTCCATTCCATTCTTTTAATCTCTTTTGCCAGCCATGTCTTTTTACGTATCTGTAATCCATCTTTTCAGACGTCTCACCTCTCTATTCCCATTTCCCATTCCAAATTCCAGTTTTTAAAGTGTTTTTCCTATTTTTACAAGGACAACGATTTTCTTTCGATGTTGTATCATCTTTACGACTCTGAAAATGACTCTGATGAGGAAGGATCGGACGCCATTACTCGACCAAACACCGTACAACTTGTGCTCAGCAGGTAAGTCAACGGGTCGCATTAAGGAGTGTCCGCCATATCGGGGGTCTGGATGTCTGCGATAGCCAGACGTCCATAATGCTAGATTGAATCTGTGCGTCCTATTAACATTCTTGGTAATTGTGTTATTTATAGAGAGCGGGAAAGGATGCTTTCAGAGCTRAAAGCCAAGAAAACAGAGTACAAAACAGGTTTTTGGAACGCAAATAGTGTCTTACTGGGTGGACTTGGTCAGGATCCTGTCGTAAATGGTTAGTTCAAAACTGTGCTATATGCTACAAACATAAATACATTTAAACAAAAATCATGATTCAAGATGATATTCAATAATGGATATAAAATATTGCTACAATAGTTCTTATACATGGTTGTATTTTCGTAGAAGAAGACTTGATGTMCGTGATGGATAGTCTAGGAAGTGTCAAAGATTTACGAAGCGCGTCACAAGGAAGTCACTCCTCTGAAAGAAAGTCGTATACATCGTCAGTTTCTAATAAAGAATCACTCGGACGTAAAACGACTTTACAAGCAAAGTCGGACTTAAGCAAGGTAAGGCGATTGTAGTAACTATGGTGATGATAATGATGATGGTGATGTCTTGGGCTTCCTGTGTGTTGGAGGAGAACTGCAGGTTGCCAAGCTGCTGCTGCTGCTGCTGATAATGATGATGGTGATGTCTTGGGCTTCCTGTGTGTTGGAGGAGAACTGCAGGTTGCCAAGGAGACTAATAGTCACCATAATTATGGTGGCAGCGATGAGACAGAAGTGATGAAGAAGCGGAATGGAAGATTTTCATTTTTTTATTTCACTTTCTTCGCCACTTCTTATTCCTTCCCAAACTTCTAAATTTTCTTTGACCCTACGTCGTCCTCCTCCGTAAGAGCTGCCACGCTACTTGTTCGTCTTCGCGCGTTTCTTCACTGATGAAAGTTTGATTATTTTTTGTACATAGAATCAGGAGGAATCATTGAGTTATCAAGAAAGGCTAGAACGWCTTTGGACGCTGCTTTGTATGCCCAACCCACAAAGACTAGACATGGCTATCAAGTACAGTGCAGAATCGCATAAACACCGCCTAGGAGACGTAAGCATTACTCATACTTGACTTATCATCAAAAAGCAACAGCACTAACAACAGCGAAGGCAGATACAACAACAGCATCGACATCAACATCAAGAACAGCAATAGATAACCAATATGCGCATTTTGTGCAACAATGGTGGCATCTACAACAGAACAAACAACAACAGCAACAACTACTTTARCAATAATAACAACCACAACAGATCAACAGAAACGACAATACTCACTAATAACAGCAACACTGAACTGCTGCAGAAACAACAATAATAATAGCATCAACTTGCATGAAAATGCCCTTATTTCAAAACTTCAAAAAATACAACTATATGACTCATTTATATCTATTAAAAACAATTTTGGGAAAATATTTGTTTTGGAATCATCCCACATCAGATAAATTTTGATTCAAAAGATGGAAGAACAAAAGGATTGAGTAAATGACGTCATTTACTCCAACATTTTTTGCTCAAATTATTAAGGATTTGTATCAATATCTTCTTGAAATCTGTTGCTTCATGATTGGATAGGTCTATTTGATTTCCAAGTCTTTTCTAAGGTTTCGCAATTTTCGTCCAAGTAGACCTTTAACGCACAGCAGCAACGACAATGATTACAATGCACTAATCAAAGTCTTTCAATTATTTGTCAGGCTCTTGATGCATGGGAAGCTGCAGCATCAGCCATCATTGACCGAGAGAACCTGCTGACAAAACTTGAAGAATTTGAACGAAATGCATCAAATCCAAACCGCTTCTTTGAAAAAGGTGATCTATATTAAGCTAATTTCGTCCTCAATGATCCTCTCTCATTATGATGTCATGCTTGKTTTGTCGGTGTGCGTCATATKGATCAATAGTATAGTCAATAGTATAATACTATTACGCATGCTCGTGGAGTAATGTTTAGTGTATCCCATATGGCTTAGCTTTATTGCAATTTCAGGTGAAGCCGGTACTTCGCTTTCAAGAATACGAGAATCCAAAGCTAGGGATTTCTTCGATAAGGTAGGGAAGTGACTACCATGTTAGAAATCTGTATAGTCTGAGTCTGTGAATCATCCTTTCTCTTTAGCTACTTCTAAAGCCTTTTGAGCATTCATAATATCTATCTATTTCACAATTTCTATTTCTCTGAAATACCCCAGTATTTGTGAATAACAATCCGTTTTTGATAAGGAAATGTCTGAGCTCGATCGTGAAGTGAAACGGACAGTTACAATCGTGAAGAAGAAATTCGATGATGAAGTGACGTTCAAGGTATGTACGTAGCTACTGACTACATGTACAAGCCGAATCTCTATTAAGCGGCCCTCTATTTAGCGGTCACCTTCAATTAAGCGGTCACTCATCAGTTCCTTATAACTCGATTCTCATGTACATTTACTGTAAAACATAACCTCTATTAAACGTCAACCTCTATTAAACGGCCACCTGTTCTTTCCCGAAGGTGACCGCTTAATAGAGGTTCGAGGTACTAAAGGATGGGGCGRGGTAATCACGTTCTCCTCTCCCCTTTTCAGTCCCGATTCAAACTTTATATCATAACAACATTTTGTCCGGTTGTTATTTCAGGGCCGGTCGTGTTTGGATAAACTTCGTCACGATCGCACTGAAATGCTGTATTGGCTACAGCAAGAAAGAAGGCAGCAAGTCCTTAACAAAGAAATGGTTAAAGAAGTCTCGCTGACATTGCTAGAATTACCGCCATTGTCTGCCAATTCAGTGTTATGAAAGTGCAAATATAGTAGACTATAAATGCATTTATTTCTATGGTTTGACCAAATGCGCTTTTAGAGTTTTGTTAAACTCGACCTTGTCTGAGGTGGTTTCAAAGTATTTTTGTATAGAACTGTTTTAAAAACACTTACGACATTGTAAAAAGACATCTTATTATCACAAATAAAATTAATTTATTAAAAAAGAGTTTGTTTGAAAGGTTATTTGAAATAATTTTGAAGATTTCGAAGAAATGTGTCTGCTCAAAGATCACCCCTTTTGCCGTGCTCAAATACGTCCTGCTCAAGGATAGCATCTAATCATCTGTTTCAGGAGGCAAGCTTAGCGAGAAATATCGATCCCAAGTTTTACAAAAAACATGGAAAGGTTGATAATAAAACAGTCATTTTGGGCTACCTGTGTCTGAACTTTGGTCATTGTCAGCGGTCATTCAACTCCCAGAATTCCGTTCACGCCAGCAAAAATGGTACCACGTGATCAGTCTACTTTGGTCGTCCTCGTCCTGGCGGCAGCGTGGAAGTTGTAGATTTGATTCAACTTAACCATGCTTTCTTTACGATTATCAAGTTCTTTAGCTAGAAATCTTGCTAGAAATGTCCCTAAGGTATGTGAAATTCCATAATCCAAGGCCTGGGTAGGTTTTTGTTGAACCAAAACCACATATTWAATCACATATTGAATTTGAAGATCACTGCCTTWGACGCGAAGCCGGTCATCAAAAATTCACCGGTTTCTTGCTCTTGATCATCATTGGTTTAACATGGCAGCTCTTTATGCTTTTACTTTAATATTCAATATTTAACAGCTACTGGAAGTAGTTATTCAGTTACGTTTAGTGCCTAGTTTGTTCATAAAATTCCGTTTCTTATTGGGYTAGGTCTACAGAGGTTCCTTAGGAGCTGCAGTGACCGCTGCTAGACAGCTTTCTACGTCSAAGCCAGCTTTTGCAGCCGCTGGAGCTGGTATGTTYTGCAGTAATTATATTTTATGTCTTAATTCCCTTGAAAGATGCTTCAAAACATGGCCTAATTGAATGAGAATTTGAGGAGGGGAGTGGTGTAATGTACAATACCTGTGCAATGTGAAATCAACAAAATGTACATTTCAAAGCACTATTGTTTCTTAATAAAATGATTGTATTGTAAAAATATAAATAAGTAGCATTTGGTGCAGTTATCTTCTCTTTTTCTTATTTGCTTGAAATAAATTGAAAATTAAAAAAAGATACATTGGTCAGTCTAGAGTGAGAAACTTACCCACCCCTCCCTTGACCTTTTCAGCTCAGTCTATTATGTTCACACATTGAAAATTTTGCAGCAAATGGACTTTCAATGTCTGCCTGAATTTGGTAGTGTATTCATTCTAAGAACATTGTCTACATAGGTACAGCAGAGGTGTCATCTATCCTAGAAGAGAGAATYCTTGGCACAGCACCAAAGGCTGAACTTGAAGAAACAGGAAGAGTATTGTCAATTGGTGATGGTATTGCTCGTGTTTTTGGCCTTAAGAACATCCAGGCAGAGGAGATGGTAGAGTTCTCTAGTGGACTCAAGGTTTGGATATATTTACAAATGCCTCTTTTGTTGTTTTGTGTGTGTTTTTTTATTTCAATCTTTTTTTCATTCGTACCATCTCAGGGCATGGCTTTGAACTTGGAGCCTGACAATGTTGGTGTTGTAGTATTTGGTAATGATAAACTCATCAAAGAAGGCGACATTGTCAAGAGAACAGGAGCCATTGTAGACGTCCCAGTTGGCGAAGAACTTCTTGGACGTGTAGTTGATGCCTTAGGTAACGCCATTGATGGACAAGGACCAATTTCATCCAAAACCAGAGCTCGTGTAGGAGTTAAAGCCCCTGGTATCATCCCTAGAACATCTGTAAAGGAACCTATGTTGACAGGAATTAAGGCTGTAGATAGCTTGGTRCCCATTGGACGAGGACAGCGTGAGTTGATTATTGGAGACAGACAGACTGGGTAAGCTTTAGAAACTATTCYTGTCTTCACTTTTGTTTGGTTAGAGTGTTAATTGCATTTGATAAAAATAAATCAAAGCTAAGTAAATGTCCCCATTGCTCAGTCAAAAGCCTGTGATTTTAATTTTCAATAGTTAGAAAAATTCCGTATGTCCAGTAATAACCATGCAGTCAAAGAAATTACTGTTGTCTTGCTGCATTAAATGTTGTTGTTTTTAAAAGTTGTTCAGCAGAATTTTGTTTGCTAAAGCTGGTTCATTATTTATTTTAGTAAAACAGCTATTGCTATTGATGCAATTATTAACCAGAAAAGATTTAATGAGGGAACCGATGAAAGTAAGTAAAAAATAATAATTTATTTGATGAATGATTCAAATCTCCCTACTTACASTAGTGCTTTGTTTGATTGATTTTATACAGAGAAGAAATTGTATTGTATCTATGTTGCTATTGGACARAAGAGAAGTACAGTAGCTCAGCTAGTGAAGAGACTAAAGGATGCAGGTTTATTTTTGTTCAATTATTTTTTCCACTGATCTGCCTGTCTGTCTTTCTTTACATCACTGTTCAATAGTGTGTAATGCAGCATTTTGATTGTGAAATATTTCATTTTTTAGATGCKCTGAAATACACTATTATTGTGAGCTCCACTGCCTCTGATGCTGCYCCCCTGCAATATCTGGCACCTTACTCTGGTTGCGCTATGGGAGAGTACTTCAGAGATAATGGCAAACATGCCCTTATCATCTATGATGATTTATCAAAACAGGTAATTCCCATGAGCATGGCAATATCATAGGTTATTGGGGGATCTAGCTGGGATCACTGTGAAAGAATATAAGACCACATATATTGGAATACAATTTGTTATGATTCTTTTTGTGTAGGGAAAAAAACCTCTGAAGCTTTTTCATTATGTACTGTATACGCAATGCATTGTAGAATATGCATGGGACAAAACATGGCGGATTTCTTTTGTTTTTGTTTTTGTTTTGTTTGTTTTTTTCTTGAAACTGATCCCACAATGCATTGGAAATCAAGYAGTGAAGTCTATTAAGTTGATGGTACAGTGTTGATTTACTGTGTTCATAMTTTATTGTTATATCCAGGCTGTAGCCTATCGTCAGATGTCTCTACTGCTGCGACGTCCTCCAGGTCGTGAGGCCTACCCTGGTGATGTGTTCTACCTTCATTCACGTCTACTTGAACGTGCTGCTAAAATGAATGATGACAATGGTGGAGGTTCCCTGACTGCTCTGCCAGTCATTGAGACCCAGGCTGGTGACGTGTCTGCATATATTCCAACAAATGTCATCTCCATCACTGATGGTCAGATCTTCTTGGAGACAGAGTTGTTCTTTAAGGGTATTCGTCCAGCCATTAATGTCGGTTTGTCTGTCAGTCGTGTTGGTTCTGCTGCTCAAACCAAGGCCATGAAGCAGGTAACTATTTTTATTCATTTTCATTSTTCTATTTTTCTTTTTCCTGTTTTTCACATTCCTTCTAAAAATTAAATAATCATTACGTTGTATTCTTACTTTGATTTTCTATTTCTATTGATTAACTCAACCAAAAAAAGCAAACMGAAAGCTATGTAGAAACCAGGTATTCAACCACTGAAACATACCATGTCATGTTTTGTCCACAGGTTGCAGGTTCAATGAAGCTTGAGCTTGCCCAGTACCGTGAGGTTGCTGCTTTYGCACAGTTTGGTTCCGATTTGGATGCTGCTACCCAAGCACTGTTGAACCGTGGTGTACGTTTAACTGAGCTCTTGAAGCAAGGACAGTATGGTATGCAACATTGTAGACTATGATCATATTGTAATTAATGGTGTCTTTCAACATTAATAGGAAGTAAAGTGCTTACACTTTGCAGAGCTTTCAACAGAAGGCAGCAACCGGCAATCGCCGGATACTTCTAGCTAAACTGCCGGCTATTTTAGAATCAAAAAGCTGATATGATTAAATAAAATTCCCTTGAATAACAAATACACAAATATACTATCATCAGTGGATCCAGCATTCCTCGAAAAAGTGTTTATTATCTTTGTTTTGATGCAAAAAAGCACGTCACGAAGACATCCGTTTCGTAACATGTAGTAGCCATCTTGTTTTGGGGCCACAAAGGACTATGGGTAGTACAACGGGCTTCCTGTGGTAGCTGTGTAGGTTTTCAATTGTTTTTACTTAAAATGTAATTATTATTATATACAGTTTTTACAAGAGGTAGACAATGGCAAATTTTGTATTGTATAATTGCTTTCATTAAGTAAAATGTGATGCCCAAATCGCTGGAAAATGCATTTTTGAGGTGCTACATTTCAAAATTTCCTGGGGGGAATGTCCCCTTTGGCCGTTCAGGAGTTACAGCCTGTTACTTTTTTAGTACAGCCGTCTATCTTGAATTTTATTGAAAGCTCTGACTTTGACTAGGAAATAACATCTAAATAGTTACTAACAAATAGTTTTTTTTTTACTATTAGTCACTATCATTCAACTGGAACAGTCTTAGTAACAATACATTCTGTACATTTGGGAATCAAATACAAAGGAAACAATACCTCATGACAACTGTTCCAGTTGAGTGATAGCAGTTAATAGTCACTATAAGAACTATTTCTTAGTAACTATTTCGATTTTATTTCATGGACATACAGTGTAGTGTAAGCACTCTAAAAGGGGTTCAGTGTTTTTCCAGTTTCATCATATGTGATATCACTTTTATGTCGCAGTTCCCATGGACATTGCAGAACAAGTAGCTGTCATTTATGCTGGTGTCCGAGGTCATCTTGATAAAATGGACCCTGCCAAGATCACCAGATTTGAACAAGCTTTCTTGCCACACATACGCAGCACTCAACAAGAACTCCTAAAGAATATCTATGACGAGGGCCAAATATCTGAAGCTAATGATGCCAAACTTAAACAAGTCGTTATCGATTTCTTGTCAGCCTTTGAGTAATGCAGCATCATAAACACAATCTTACATAAAGTGTTTGTATTAATATTTTTTAAATTTCTGCTGTGTTTGACGAGAGTAGGACAGATGACTTGTAATTTTGATTGAGCCAGAGTGCTGTTTGGAAAGGGAAATAAAAACATTGTGAAGAAAATCAAAACACTTTGTGTTAATTTTATCTATTGTTGGAACTCTGTACTCTCTTTACATTGTTGGATGGTTTAASCTCTTTTGAAATCCTCCAAAGACAGTCAGCTCTTATTCCTACATAATGAGAGACATTCTATATTGTGTTTGTTGTGATATAATATTTCCCAAATCTCTTAAAGTGGCAGGTGCTCCATCTCACTACATGTCACACACAAACAGCAATGTATATACAATCTTTTTAGATTATTTTCCATAAACCATTTGTGTTGAACTAGTCTAGACCTCAGTAGTCACTAACTTCATTATTATTCTATGTCTATTGGAGTACAATATCTTGGCTATTAGAATTTGTTTCACAAGTTTAATGTTTACAGTGAAGACCCACATGCTTAAAACCTGAATGCATGTGGGCATTTAATCTATGCTTCCAATCCATTATTGGTATCCATCTGGCCATTCACCAATGACCAACCAGATTTTCAATGTGTAGTGTTCATTTTACTGTCTATTAAAGTCATACACTTCATACGGATGAGAATGTATTAAAGTGACTCTTTTTCWTGATGTCAGAGGCTTAAAGATCACTTCTTGCTAATACAATAATGTTTCAATAATCCTACATGACACTCRAAAGACAAAGCTGGATAAGTTGCATAATTTTTGTTAAAAGCAGAAACCAAGTCTATTTTTTGTCACACAAAATAAGTACTGTGASTTTCATGTTATGGAATCAGTCTAAAAATGCTATACTTAGCTGTTTTTAAAATTAGGTAAATGTCCAAGAAAAGAAGTTTCATTGAAATCTATCTTCCATTTATTCCATGACGTCACTTCTATTCTCAAAACTCTAYAACCGAGAGGTCTGGTAACGGGAACTTATCAGACGTATCATMTGACAGTTTGCGAAATTGAAATTGAAAGTCTGTTCAATTTGTATTGGACTTTTTAACAAGCAAGAGCTCCCAGTTTACAATCATGAGCTGTGCAAAAGCATTCTTGTTCTTCTTGAATACTGTATTTCTGGTAAGTAGCGGTGAAAGAAAGGTTTCAATAGCCAAATAACAATACAACTTTCGTTTCCGCTTAGCTCGTGATATCACCACGCTTTATTTGTCACGTCGCAAACATTTCAGTCTTGYATAAGAAAAATTAGTTAAAACAATTATAATCTAGTAAGCAAAAGATAACTGCAGTTTTAGCATCCTTTTCTGTGCAAATTGTTTGGAAATARAAGAGTTTTACAACATGAAAAGAGTTTTGTTGAGACCCTGTTAATGTTGTTGTGCTCCCAGGAAATTTACATTAATCACTGTTGCGTGTCGAAAATTGTTTGATTACCAATCTCAGCACAATTAGTGTAACAGTTGTGATGCGATTTGTTGGGAAAGCTTTATAAATCTTCCTTTAAAAAATCATTTAACTGTTATGGCTTCAGCTAAAAGCACAAACAGAACTTTGGACCGACATTTGACACGCACGAGTAAGTTAGATGATTGTTTGAGTATGAAATTAAAGTAACTCTTTTTCAATCCAAGGGACTGTCTGGACTTCTCATATATGTAGCAGTATGGCTGATACAATCCTACAAAGATTATTACAAGTTGACAACAGACACATATACAGTGGTACCAGCTGGTATCATCATTGCAGTGGGAGTTTTTGTTTTTATCACTGCTGTTTGTGGCTGCTGTGGCATTTTCCGTAGCAGCAAGTGCTGCCTTGGAACCGTAAGTATATGTTTTAAGGTGTTAAA